AGTCACAGCTGTGCCCAGCACAGCTGCTTGAGCAGCTGCACCATGAATGGGGTCAGAGAAAATACTGTAAAGCTCTGAACATCCTTTTTCTCATTCACAGTAGACACTGATCAGAGCAGGCAAGTAACACCTACACTGATAATGCTCTCAACCACCCTGTACTGTGAAACCTTAGCTTTGCTTTAACACTTCAGCAAGAGCAGCCATTTTGTTCAGAGAACAAAATACTGGAAAGCAATCACACTAAATTTTGGGGTTTTTTGTGAAAGCAAGAGTGAGGAAGTCAGAGATTAAATAATGCAAGCTAGAAAAATGCTGGGCAGATTCTTAAAAATTAAAGCTTTCAGGAGGGTCACTGCATGGAATCCCCTTCTAATGGTATCAAGCAAAAAATATTAAAAATAAATCCTTGAACTTGACATTTAAATGTAATAATATCACACTACTAGTGGTGCCAAAAAAAGTTTAGCCAAAGTATTTGGGCTTTATTTCCTTTTTTGGAAAAAAGAGTACACTAAAAAATGGATTGAAGTGTTTTATGACAAAAAAAATCTACTGAAGATTATTCACTTAGTGTATTAAACACATACAATTTTATAAGGTGCTGTATAAACTTGTTAAACAATGTCTGCTCTGAGAGTATGTAAATGGATAGCCTTTGAAATAAAACTTTGTAGGTACTGAAGAGATCCTTAGAACAGCTAGCATCATTAGCTCCCACTAACCAACAGAATACCAACGCAATAAAAAGAGTCAACCACTTAGCTTATAAAAATTTCCCGCATCTACAAATTCTTTCCAATTACATCAAGTGTACCAACTAGAGAAAGAAACAGAAAGTGAACTTTTCTTAAGTCAGCAAGAGTTTGCAATAATTCCTCTCTTGTCCCCTGACAAAATACAGCAGCACAGCATGCTCTCAGCATTGAATGTGACATGTTTATTGGGACTAGCAAAGAAAGCCATCAACAAAGTCCAAACCTGAGAAACAAACTCGAGAAGAACTTTGCTTTAGGATTCCAAGGATCTACTCATGCTTTACTTGTCTTCTGATTTACAATAACCCCTCTCCTTCAGCTGAGACACGAAGGGATTAAAGAGTTGTGTCAGAAGAATTTGTGACAGCTCAGGAGAGCCCACAGAGTTCAGGGAGCCACAAAAGCCACAGCTGCAGGGGCAGTTGTGATGATGGGTACATTCATTGTGCCACAGCCTGGGCGCTCCACACGCAGGAGCTGCCTGCAGCCATCCTCAGTGGGCCACTCTTGCTCACAGCAAGGCCAGGGGGAATCTGCAGGGAAATGCTAAAAGGCTGAGAGGAAAAACAAGTGCAAACCAGCCAGTGGCAGCTGCAGCATTGCACCTAAATTTCAGTAGCAAAAATCGTATCAAGAGCTCAAAATTAGAGCAAAAAGGCTGAGTTATTGGTGCATAGCAACACGGCTCAGGAAAGAGAAAGGAAAAGATGAGCTAAAAGGCTTAATCTATCTAAAACCTAATGAAGGCCTGTGATTTCACCTGAAAATGAAGCAGAGAATGCCTTCAGTTAGGGAGAGTTCACAAGAAGACTCAATGGTTAAACTTCATTTATATTTTTTTTAAAGCAGACTGTCTACATCACTGTTACCTGACACTACTCAAAAGGCACAGCACGATGCCATTCCAGCTGAAAAGCAAGCAATGCAGGGAAGAGAGAGAAAGTAAGGTTTAAAAATAAATTTTAAAAGAACACTTTGAGAGGGTTTCTTTTTTTTTTCCCTGGCCATGGCACATGGTCACACAAGCAATAGGATCTACACAACAGTTTGGTTTCTCACTGCTGGCTGTCCCAGCTCACCCTCTCCTGCACCAGCTCTGGTGTTTTTGTGACTCTGGGCTGAACTGCTTCTGTGTTAAGTCAGCATAAAACTAAGCCAAGAAAAAGGGCAATAGGTTTCTGCTGGGATGTCATGCAAAAGCAGTTGAGCACAGTCTGGGAAAGGAGACAGGCTTAGCTGGCCTGGCAATGCAGGCTCAGTCTGGTCAGCTAGTACATCCACAGTAGCTTTACTGGCACTTGAAAGCTCCAAATGAGGCTTTAATACTATAAATATTTAATTCAGCAAGAACACCATCTTATGTGGCATTATCTCATCTCCCCCTGTCACACAAAGCTGCTTGCCCAGACACTGTCTGTCGAGGGGGAAGGAAAGGGCTTTCTTTTATCGTAGCTGTTTTCAATGGAGACCAAGTCTCCAGCTTAGCTTGTCACATGGCTCTGTGAACAGGTGTGCTGGTGAAACAGAGGACTGGAAACAAGCAGCTGGAGGAAGGAGGGTGCTTAAACCAGGACAGAGAGTGAAAACAGTCTGTGTTTGTAAAACTGCATTGCAAATTCAAGCCATGCTATTCTCTCAAGTACTGTCCACACACTTAACAGGAAATTCTGCCCTAAAATATATATGGTGTAAGTAAAAAAAAAAAGAAGAAGCAAGAAATAGATATAAGCACTAAGTATATAAAACAATAAATAGATGAATTATATATATTTTATATCATCATCCCATCTCATGGTGAGTGAGCTAATGTATGTATATTAAGAGCTCTATTCTAATATTCAGGAAAGTAACTTGATTTCAGAATACATCACAGATTTCTTATGTTCCTGCTTTGGATGCAGCTGAGAGTAATCTCATAGACTGTGGTCCCTAAAATATCTCTCCCAGCCACATGGTTCTGCAAGATACCTCATTCTATTCCTAGCACCTTTTGAACTCTTTCCTGAGCTTATGCAACTAACCTACATGGCAGAACTGTACTGTAATCACTCATACAAGATTTAATGAGTGTCAGATCTAATGCACAACAACATCCCAAAAGGGGAACGTGGAACAGTGAAAACTTTTACTTTTAGCAGGAGTAAATAAACTCACTCAGCTACTTACCTAACTGCACCATAGCTGCCCTGCACCCTGGCTGTCTGAATTAACTACAGGATCAGCTTTTCCCTTGGAATTCCAATGGCCACAGAGGGCTCCACAGCGAGCAGGAATGCAGTGGAGTTTCTTGCTATCTGCTTTGCTGTGCAAATTCACAAGCACCGGGCCCTCCATCTGTATGGATGTCACCTCAGTGTGGACTGGTGCACACTTTGTAGCTGTCATTTCACACTTCAGTTGTGTAGGGTAGGATAGGACAGTATTTAAAAACCAGTGGGTGCTACATGTAGCCTCTGCCACTAGTTACCAGAAAAAATGTATTTTTTTAAACCATAAAGCTTATGGTAATTACAGCCATTAGAACAAATATTTACACTTGCAACTACCTGCAAAGTTTATTTAAGTAGGCCACTATATGAACTATTGCTTTTAATAATCTAACAAGGGCTACAAATCATGCTGAAGTTCCTGGCTCTGCAGAGCAAAGGCAGTCTTATTCTGAAGCCAGTTTCATGGGGATTTGTGTTCTGTGGAATAAAATCTGAACAAGAGCCTTTAGCTGGCAACACACAAAGGTTTTCCTATATTGAAGCTATGCTGCTTTGTCTCCCAACAGAGAAACTGGAGCCAAAGACAAACAAAGCAGAAAAGAGAGTTAAAGACAAACAGGTGGATAAGACTGAAAAAAACCCAAGAAATGCAAGGATATGCTCTCTGTGCCTGGGGGATGCACTCAATGGAAGGGAATCCAAACCTAAGGCAATACACTTTGGGCTCCAAAACCTGGATGAAGATTTAAGACTGTTGCCAGCACACTTTCATTCAATTGATACACAACTGACTCCTCACTTGAAAAGATTCCACACTGCAGAAACAAAGTCACTTCACACCGCTTATGAAAAATGTTGCCTACCCTTAATTCTTCTGCTCTTCATTCCACAAAGCCATGTAACAACAAACATGGCCCAGTGAAATAGGAATTCAACTATCATTAAATAAACGTACTCAGAATGCAAAATTTTCTTTTCTGAATGGATATTTGATTAATAGAGGGAAATAAACAGACCTTTAAGCTGTTTTTATTTATTGTTTTTTACAAGACTGTAAAAAAACAACCCTTTCCTGTATGTAGGTGTGACATAAGCATATACATACATGTTTTGCTACTAGTTTAAGGGTGCAAGCATAAGAAATCTCATGTTTCACATTGCTGCATCTTTTCAAGAGCATTGTTCCACAGGTACTCAAACTTCAGCTTTAGGATTAATGTAATCCAACCTGGGTGTTCAGGACTCAGGAGAGAATGGCTTCAGCAGTGCAAAGGCATCACTACTGCAGAGCTGCAACACCCCTTTTATCTAATTAATTCTAAGGTTTAAACACTCACAGCAATTTTTATAAAAGCTAGTTCATCGTTCAGCCACAAGTTTATTTTGCCTGCAACTGGAAGCTCTATGTGTCTATTGTTGCTTGTGCAGGCCGAATTCCTCATGTAAGAGTCTGCCCACTCAAATGCTTTCATGGGAACGAAAGGGCCTCATGGTGAGGTTTGACAATGCAGCTGGACCAACCAGATGGCTCACAGCCACCAAGATGAGGCATTATTAATCCTTCTTCTACCACCTTGTCTCTGCTAGTCCTCTGCACTGGGAGGGACATCTGTCAGGGACATCTGACCTCTGATTTGGCTGAGTTTACAGAACTGGTAGAGAAATAATTCATCAGGAAAGAAAAAATGGTTTCTGCTGGTTAATCAAGTGAGGCCAGACGAATACTAATAGAATGAACGACAGGATACCTCTTTCAATGCAATCCAGTCATTTGATTGGATCAGCCACTTTGTGGAGTGAATAGGTTTGACTCATGAGTCAAAGACGGTGACAGGACTATGGTGACAGGACTTGTGACAAAAGGCAGGGTAAGGGAAGAATGCTTTTGGCTTATTTCACATTCACTTTAAGATTTTTTAATACTGATATTAATAATAAAGTAGCATTCTTACCTTTAATTGCTAATTTTCCCATTCATTTGCATCACTGCCAATTTACAGATCACAATACAATAAACTGAATATTTACTTACCTACAAATCCTTTCTCTCCAACTAACTTAAGAGCAATTTTATCTGCCAAAACAGAAGAATTTCCATGTGCAATGTTAGCAAAGGGTCCAGCGTGAACAAATACTGGTGTTCCCTGGATGACAAAAAAATATATGTAAATAATTCAATGTATAGACGTCATGGTTTAACACCAGCCAGCAACCAAGCCCCACACAGCCGAATACTCACTCCTCTACCAGTGGGATGGGAGAGCAAATCAGAAGGGTTAAAGTAACAATAGTCATGTCTTGAGATAAAGACAACTTAATAGGTAAAGAAAAGGCTGCACACACATGAGCAAAACAAAACAAGGAATTAATTGCTGTTTCCCTTGGGCAGGCAGGTGCTCAGCCCAGGAAAGCAGGGCTCCATCATGTGCAATGTGCAATGGTTACTTGGGAAGACAAATGCCATCACTACAAATGTCCCCCCTCCCTCCTTTTTCCCAGTGTATGCTCAGCATGATGCCATATGGCTTGGGATGCCCCTTGGGCCAGCTGGGGTCAGCTGTCCCAACTGTGGCCCCTCCCAACATCTTGTGCAGCCCCAGCCTGCTCGCTGGTGGGGTGAGAGGCAGAAAAGGCCTTGACTGTGTGCAAGCCCTGCTCAGCAATCACAAAAACATTCCTGTGTTATCAGCACTGTCTCCAGCACAAATCCAAAACACAGCCCCATACTAGCTGATGTGAAGATAATTAACCCTACCCCAGGCCAAACCAGCACACTATGTAAGAAACTCAGTAATTTTTCGGACTTATCAGCGTCACTGATATGTTCATTTAAATCAAAGCACACCTAGCAAGGAAGTGCTATTAGACAGCTTAGGGGTTTCAAGTACATCTCAGGTGTTTGAGACCTCATTCGCCTGCTTCATTCTTAGAAAGGTAATAAACAGTAGTGCAAACCCACACAACTTCTTCACCCCTCCTTGCACTAGTTCATGTTTCATAGTGCCACAGCTCTAATACTGTGGTGTGCTATTCTGGCACACATCCTGTCACAAGCACTGCAGACACATAAGCCAGAGCCCAGCTCCAGCCCTACTTCAGCCCTGTGTGCTCCTGTTTTCCTCACTGGCTGCAAAAGCCATTCCTGTGCAGGCAGAGGAGCCAGCAGAAGCTACAAGGGACCAGAGTCAAGGGTTAAGGAGCTGGAGATGGCAAGGGATGTGCTGGGGTGCAGCAGGGATACTGACACAATGGAAAATGCTTTCACTGCTGCTGGAAACCCAGGTGCAGAGCTGAATTCTCCTGCACTGGACACCATACAAATACACAGGGAAAACTGACTCTGTAGATGAACCAGTCTAAACCAGAGAAAGGAGAGGCAAGGGGTAAGAAAATTAGCTACCTAGAGGGAATTTGTGAGGTAGGCAGCAGTTCTCAGCTTCCCTCTTATACTTTTGGCATACTTCTCCAAGGAAAGGAGAAGCTAGAAAATAAGCATCCTCAGAAAGAGATTAGGATTAGGTGGGATTACTTTAACTGCTATTTTTTCTCAAAACCAGGATACACAATCAGACAAAAGAATGTCACTTCAGCTGTATTACTGCAAAATACTTAGGCAAACAAATACCAATTGTTGCACTTATGCATCGTAAAGTGCCCAGCTGGTTAAAGAAAAGGTAAACAGACAATTTCACATTATTTCCATCAATATTATTCTCACATTCTGTACTAGGAACTTGTCAACCCTCAAAATTTCAGGCAACCTCCTTCAAGTTTTGACCAGAAACACCAGTTAAGGACGACAGTGTTCTATGGATCAGCTGCAGGACACATCTAATAGTCCCCTGAAGCACAGCTTGGAAACTATTAACCATAAAATACAAGTTGGTTCTTCCTCCTCCTCTCCCCCAGCCACCAGTGTCTTAAGGAAACAAGCTACATAGGAAAAAAATCTCTATTTAACTACTCTAATCTAAGTTGTGTTTTACCAAAAACATGGACAATTTAGTGATGATGACTGGAAATCATATACAAAAATGATTTATCAACAAAAAAGAATCTCTTCTTATTTCTTCCTTTAGAAGTAATAACATATAATTAATTGTTTTGCTCAGAGGAAAGACAAGTAACTTTCTAGCCACTGCCACATGCAGACATGGATGGGTGCTATTCTCCAGGAACAACACAATTAAGCTACAACTCAGAAAACTCTGCCTTGTTAATGTTAGAGTAGAAACAGGAGCCAAAAAAGTAAATGAAGGAGAGATCATGCCCTGTAACAAAAGAACTGATGTAGATCACTATAATCATCACACAGTGCTTACTTAGGGTTAGCTTCTTTTTCTTGTTTTCTATCTGCTAATGGACACATACTGCAATGACAACTGAGATTTTACACAGACACACAAAAACTTAACATGAACTTCAAAGCTTCTCATCTGGGCATCAGATTAATAGGTGCTATGCAAAATATGTTATACCTATCCCAAAGAGCTTGTAACATACAAAATCAGATGCAAACAACTTCCACCAAACTAAGTTGAAGATTTACTTCTACTTTAATGCAGTATTTATGCTTCCGGCATTCAAATAAGTGGGACCACAAATTTTCAGCTACCAGACTCAGAGCCATAAGATTTATTCCAATTTGTCTTTTATTACTCAGTAAGACTAATTTTACCCTTCCAATCCCTAATTTCTTGTGGGAAGCAATCACAGGGCTGGTCTTATCAAAGGCCAGAGCACACACTGGGCAGATGTGATGCAGGGACCCACAGGCAGTGACTGGGCAGCCCAGCACAGACTGCAGCAGCTGTGCTGAGAGAGGTGCCAGAAGGGTCTCCTCCTACATTCCCTGTGCTACTGAGTTTCCAGGAGTTCATCCACACAACATGGATAGGGAGTGTGGACTGCAGAATCCAAAATCCAAAATATTGGAAGTCAAGAGGCTCTGACTAACTTGAAATCCAAACATACTACTAAATCACTGGCATAGACAGATGCTGCCCTGGAGCTCTGAAGGAAAGGAAGAGCAATTGGAATGTTTTTTTACAAGAGCAATCCTGCAAGAAAAGTAAAGTTTAGGTACTGGGGAAAGCGAACTCCAGCAGGACCTTGGGAGCCTCAGGCACACCTCGGAAGAGGGACAACAATGTCTTCTCAGGTCAGCTTTAGTGACTGTGCCAGTCCATCTGTCCCACTGATTTTTGCCACTTATTTTTGCTACACTCTTAACAAACTATATGGAGAACCAAGCAGTGGCACAGGGATGCATTCTGCTGACTGTTTGCAGTACAGAAAATTTTACTGTCCAAGTTTCAGTAAAAGAAAATAAACCCAGAATGTCAATAAATATCTGAAGTTATCTGGCTGCCAGAAGGATGTTTATAATACTTATTACCATCCTTCTCTCATCTTTACTATGAGTGGCACTTCAAAAGTAACACAACAAACCACCCCAGAGCAGCCAGCCTGCAACTACAAAGGGTTGTCCCGTAGAGCAGCTGCTCTGTTACGCGTGGTATAAATAAATGCTAAACATTAAGGGATCAGTCGACAAGAGAACAAATCCGTCATGAGAAACATGGATAAACACTATGAAATCATTATGCACATTCCAAACAAAGTAATCTCAATTCTACAGCACTGGATATAAGTAAGCTCCACTGAAGTCTGCAGATACTGTAGATGGAGTGCCCTGTGTCTCCCATTTTCAGATTTTTACTGTCATTCCTGCATATAAAACACTGTCAATCACTGACACTTTCAGGCAGAATTTCTGGTGCCAGAGTAGCAGGACTGTGACAGAAGGCAACCCACCAAGAAACCTCTTTGAAAATCAGCAAATTAAAACACACATCAATTTACATATGAAAAAAAGGACTGACATAAGTTGCCAGTTCAGTTCCATGCAGGACTGACATCTGGTCATTTTTGATTTTTGACCTTCTAAGCCTCTTCTCCGGTGCATGCAGACATCCATACAAAGTTGGTTGTTCTTGTCCCTTTTCACAGGCCCTTAGAAGCAACTCCTCAGACTTCCATGGCTTAACAAAATTCCCATCCCACCCCCTGGCTCTTGGACAGATCACAGAGGAGTGCAGCTGTACTGGCTACCATCTCTGCAATGCCTCCTTCCAGTCACTACTACCCACAGACACTATGATTTACAAATTATGCCAAATCAACTGTCAGCCATCCAGATCTCCTGCTCTCCCTCACCCAAAAATCTTCTTGCCACTCCCCAAAAGTCATCTGGAAGACCTGCTTTGGTTGTATCCCTAATTGCCAGACAGGTCCACAGTGCATTCTGAGCTGTATTTGTGTTCTCTGTAATCTTACTATTCTGTTTTTTCACCACCTATGTGCTGCATGATTTTTTTCTTAGTTCTACAGTTTTCAAATTGTGGTGCTGTTGCTAAAAATCCTTACACTTTTATGAAGAACTCATTCTCCCAGAAGGGATTAGGATTATGTTACCCACTTACTACTGGTAACTTCTTTGGAAACTTAAGATGCTAACTTTCAGGTGCTACTTATGAGGTTTATTTCAAGTGTAATGTAGGCTTCAGCTGTCCTCATTTCTGATTTGAAATTCACACATTCATCAGAAAGATGGCATTGACTATAGCAGAAGAAATATTATTATTACATCTATCACCCCAGGGTATACTAGGATTAGTTTGGTTTACAATCTATCATGCTAGAGAGGCTCTAAACTCACAAGTGGATCTCTAGAGCTTATTCAAGTGTGCAGGGCACAACATCCTCTTGTTCCCTGCCTTTTTCTTTTTTAAACTGAAGCTATTAAAAATAGCACCTCTTACAGTCATTCAGATGAAGAATTAAAAATAACAAAGAGAGTTCAAGAGCAGCAACAGCACAGGCAATGATAGAGCAGGCCACTGCATCCTCAGGAGGGCCAATCCTGTCCTGGGGGGCATCAGGCACAGCATCACAGCTGGGCAAGGGAGGGGATTGTCCTGCTCTGCTCTGAGCTGGGGTGGCCTCACCTCCAGTGCTGGGGGAGTTCTGGATATCACAATGTCAGAAAGACATTGAGCTGTTAGAGAGTGTCCAAAGGAGCACCATGAGGATGATGAACAGCCTGGAGGGGAAGCTGCAGGAGGAGTGGTGAGGTCACTTG